TTGTAATTTTTTTTTGTCATCTTTTATTATATTTTTAGACCGATTTTGCTAATGTCGTTGGCATACACCCAGAGTAATTTAATACTTTTACAATAAGTTTAGTTTTGCTACAATATTGATTCGTAGAATTAGCAATATTCAACATTATATTGGCTGAAATATCCTCTAGTATGGAGAATAGTAAAAAAATTTCTTTTAAATTTAATTAAGGTAGTGGTAATAATTCTATATCTATACAAAGCATCTTAACTGAATCAGAGCTACAAGATCACTCAATTGTTTGTCTTCAGTTTGTTAGTACATTTATTCAAAAACTGATATTATATTAGCTTCGATCAAACCTTTTACAAAAAAGTTCAATATCAAATTTTACAAAATTCATGCCACCCTATTTTATTAGGGCTTATCAAATATTGAGAAAGTTTATCAAATATTGAGAGAATTACATTGGTTGGTTTAAAAAGATTAATTAAAATTTATACCAGAATCGTTAAAAAAATATTTTAAAAAGTGTACTTACAACTTCTCTAAAATAGATAATAGTCTAACACCATAATACAGACCATCTCACAGATTCAAGATATGAGCTTGTCAATACATATGAAAGATCAGAAACAGTGTATGCTAAATCTTAATGGTACCAACATTGAAACAGTAAATATAATTGAGTATTCACATTACAAAGGTGTACTGATGAAAATCAATTAGGTCTAAAATGATATAAAATTATACGTTAAATCTTAAATAAAAAATTTAACGATACGAGATACTTTGTATTTTTCTAGTCGATGATTGCATTTATATCTTGATATACTGAAGCGTTTATGGTAATTAAACTAAAACTTCTCAGCCAAAAAATTGGCTTTTGGTTTGTTCTATAACTATAGTTTGGTTTGTAACTACAGTTTGAAATAATTAAGATATTTCTTATATCACATTAACTTTTAGCAAATTTTGCTAAAAGCTAATCAGTTTCAGCTAACGAATAGCTAGAGCAAGTTATAGCAGTCTACCAGAAATTTCTTAGAGCAGATCGTAGACGTACCTACTTATAGACCAACTAAATGCACAATAATGCTTCTTCAGTCTACAGATTTTACTTCTGAACTGATTCTGACGAGTTTATTTGTGGGATTTTTTTACCTTCGATATCAGCAGAGTTCGGAAAGCACTGTTTAGTTTCACCTTACCAATAGCTGCAGTTAAAGCTGTTAATCAGAAGTTTGGTAAAGCTTTTTTAAAAGAATAATAAGTTGATTTCTTTTTAACTGTCTGTATAAATGTAAGTGACTTTTATTCCTTTAAAAAGATTTTGATGAAAGCTGTATATGATATAAAACTTTGCTAGAAAGATAATAAATATAAAGTTGCGTATATGATCAACTTAATGAATACATACTCTCAGCAAGTAATAAATATTCTTCATAGTTACCTTCTGCTCAAAGAGTATTCAAATTTCGTAAATAAAACTTTATTTTATTCCAAATTTATTTTATCTCCTTCAAAATATGCTCCTTCTGAAGCGATACACATATGCCAACGCTTAACCCAATCTTCCATACACTTTTCGTAGGCCCGTGCAGGTATGGCTTTTAGTTCTTTCTGCGAATTCTCTTTTACCGATTTAATCGACTCAAAACGCTTACCACGAAGGGGCAATTTGAGTTTCGGGAACAGGAAAAACAACATCAGATCTGGCAAATATGGTGCCTGAGCTATGACAGTGGTGCCGGGTTTGGTCAAAAAATCGCGTACAACAAGAATTTTCCATAGTAAAAATCGCTAAATGCACTTGAGGTAGTCTCACATTAACAGCTGCTGTAGACAAAAAACTAAACAGATACCCTTTCTTGATATATTGTACCATATAATATATATATACATATGTACAAGGGTGTACCAACATAACAAAAATAAAAATTTTTGAAAAAGGTCTATTACTTAAGGAGTATTTAAAAAAGAACAAAATCCGATTACTTTTTGAGCAGGTATTTTACCATTTATAAGTGTTACAAAAATATTCCATAATATCAAATATTCTATATTTTCTATTTTCTATTTCTATTTTATTTTATATATAGATATAAATATTTTCTATTTTATGTATATAAATATAAAAATTCTATATATAATAAATTATCCAAGAATAAAAATGAAAGAATGGTTAAAACTAATGAATTGAATCAAATGAAACATTGATTTTAACTAATGAATTTGTTCTACTCATATTATATCGTTCGAACAATTTGGCATTTTGAAATATGTACTCTGCAGACTGCAACAAGATACATTAGTTTTCTTTTTATTCACATTAATAAATATACTATATAAATACCGTATAAACTCAATATGATCAATGACGAACAACCTACTTCTTTTGCTCTACGTGATAAAATATTGATATATAAAAAAACTTAAATACATGAAACTCGTAACAAAGATATTTCGAAATGCATTCTATTGAACTTATCAATATATCATAATAATTAACTCCATCAGTGGGCACTTGATAAAGCGCTTAACAAACCTTGTCGAAAGCATTTAACTATATTAATATTAACATTTATAACTTAAAATAGAAATATAGTTGGCAGCGAACTTCTTCTTGCTGCAAATCACCTTAAACGGATTATTTCTGGTTGTCTTAAAAGTCATTTCCGAATAAAAAATGATTAATCAAATCATTAAACTTATGCTCAAAAAAATATAATAAAATCGTCAGCAAAGAAAAAATTAATAAATTTAGCAAAATCAAAAATGCGTCAATATTAAGTTATAAACGTCATTTCATTATTTTTAATAATACTAATAAGTTGACAGAAAAAGTGAAAAGAATAATCAAATGGAAGAATTGCAGCAAAATCTTAAAATCGATTAATAAATGATATAAAATCGAAATTATTAAATTAAAAATTTCTTTGAAAATTATTTATAGAGTAATCCTAGTTAAACAAGATTATTAAATGAGCACTGTCAAGTCGAAGTTACATACATATAGACATATGTATATACTATACATATTTATATATAATTAAGAATATTATTATTTAAACGTGTTTGAAAGCAAACGAAATAATTCAAGATTTTATTGTATCAATAACTGAGAACAAAGACTAAATCTTAACCACTTTAAATCTTAAATATTCCTTTTAAGAATTATAGACTAATTTAAATTCAACTATTTAGTTTTCGACCAGTTTTACTTTTATTTAATATGTTCATATATATACGTAAATTTATCATATAAATTTTATTGGGCAATATTTTTAATGACAATAAAATTAGAAAACCACAAAGAAATTAATTATAAGCAAAATATTCTTGTTTTCTATTTTGTACATAATTTGTTTATGTTTAAAAAAAAAATTTATTTTATTTTTAGTGCTTAAAATAAATTAAAATTGAATATCAGATTGTTACAACAGAGCCCCCGCCAAACACATAAAACAATATATAAATTCATTTATATCTTCGTTAATCTCCTTAGATCTGCGTACGGTTTGACGTAATTTTATTTCAATTAATTTATTGATTTCATCATTTTAAAATTTTAGATACAAATGCGAATACTCGTACATACAAGAGTGTTGAATCTTAAACAGCATCATAAAATTAAAATTAATTAAAATAAATTTGTCAAACTTTTTGCTTGCGGTAGACAATTTGTTATCTATTACAGATACATTATTTTTAATTTGATAATAAAGTCTTTCTCTTCCTTGTGTATAAATTTATAAATCAAATACAACTTACAAAAAATGCAAGTTTATTATAGAATATTAAGCAAATTACTAATTTACAATTGTTATTAAAACATAAAGTCATAAAAAATTAAAAAAAAAAACTATTTCTTTATGCAAATTATATAGGATACATAACATTAAGTTATAATCTAAATTTCATCTACGAATTCATGCACACAAAGATATATAGAAAACAACCAAGGATCCGATTTTCTGTTAAAATAATTACCCATCATTCCGCTATTCTATCTG